ACTTACTTACTTACTAAGTAATGTAATTAGTTACTTTTTTAGGGAGTAATGCAGTCATTCATTCTCTGTTCACCTATAAGAATCTCATGAAAACATCTCCAGCTCATGTTTCACTCCAAAATCGAAAGAAAGAATTAAGTATATTATTATATTTGCCATAAAGAAAATGAAGCCTGTCATTCGGACCATTAGGACATTTTGCACATTTGCATGACAATTAAGCACATTCATATTACTGTAATGTGTCTGCACTTTTTATTTTTAATGGAAATTCTCACAAGATACTAATTTCCTTAATGCAACCATTTAGTATCAATTACTTTAAATCAGCATATATTAAAGACAATGCTGCACTTTATATTTTGGATGGGTTTTCAATCCTTTAAATACCACAGACCCACAAATAAGATCATCCTCATGGAAAGGACACAGTTTGAATGGGCATGATGCCTCTGATAGGACAGCATCATAAAAGTTATTGTATAAATCCCTTGTATAAAGACCCAACTGATGAAAAATGTATATTACAAATTTCTATTATTTGGAAAATTGTTTTAATCAAGTTGCATTATTCTATTCTACTCTATTGTACAGGTAATATTTATTTATTTACTTAAAATTGTAATCTTATATATATATATTAGTGCTGTCAATCGATTAAAAAAATTAACTAATTAATCGCAAATTTTTTCTGAAATTAATCACAATGAATCCCACCTAACGTTAAAGTTTTTAAATATACTTTTATATTGCAATAATCTCACATTCAATTTTCAAATTAATGTACAAACAACATAAAGACAGTATATTTTTAAATATTTGTTTAATGGCATCTTTTTTTATGGCTGAAGGCCAGTATCAATGATACCAATGCTGATATCTTTATAAAATTGCCCCGCCCCTTCCTAATTTTTAACCATTGACTAGCCATTCAGCATTACAGTGTAATTGAGAGCTATCAATTTTAGCATTTATTAGACTTTTAAAAACTTATTTCTAAATTAAAAGTGAACTTAAAACAATCTTCACATAAACCCATTATAATAAGTGTCATATTTACCCGTGCGCTTCAGCAGAAATATACAGAAATTGAAGTTATCAAACTCTAAATTAAATATAGATGAATCCTTAAAGCTATAAAAGTTATTGATTTCCTCTTTTTTCTTTGTCCTTTGATTAAGTCATCACAGCAGCTGGTTATTAGGTTGTTTTGGCTGCTATTACTTTAAGAGCTGCCGCTGCTGAACGTGACGCGGATCTGACCCACTTCAGGTCTTAAAGTCTCTAATAATGAGCAGACGAGTTAAATCGGGTGTGTTAGATGAGTGAATGTTCTTAAATGTGACTCATATAAAATATATTACATGCATGCACAGTTTTAAGGCATCTTTAATCACCTTTTTGGTAACATCATGACACGCTGACCACGACTTTGCATGCAAGTAGTTTATTTCATGCTTTGATATGAAATGATAAAGGCTAAAGCACGCTCCAGCGCCTTTGTGCGTGCAATAGAAGAGCATGCACTACGAGCACAGTACCGTTTCCGCTCGTTTGACTCGCGCCTGCCGCTGAAGTGCAGCTGGAGCGCTCGTCTGAAACGTCTCTGGTTTGATGTGCTCATAAAGACATTCTGCGACTGAATAAATGCACTTCTTGTCAAGAGGAAAACAGCTCTTTCTTTTGACACCACTAATATATATATAATTTTTTATTTCTATTTTTTATCTATTTGATGAATAATATTTATTTATTTTTATTTACTTATTTACATTTTTTCGTATTTTCTTAATAACTAATCATTCATCTTAACTTAATAATTTATCTTATTTTAATCTTAATTATTTATTTGTATAAATGTTTAATTATTTCAGAATTTATTTATGTTAATCTTATTATATATTAATTATTATTTATATATTTATTTACTTGTTTTAATGTAATTTATTTATTTTTATTTATTCATTTATATGTTTTTGTTATACACTAATTATTTTTAAATAATTATTTAGTAAGTAATAATTAATTTAAAACTTGTATTATTATTATTATTATTATTTATTTATTTATTTCTACATTTTTTACACTGTTTTTCCCAAACTTTTCCATGGACCCTGTTCTACTCCCTTATAGCCCCCTAAATAAGATATCATTATTTATTTTGTATTATATAGATATTTTTTTTGTTATTTTCAAGTGTTTGATTGGATCTGGTGTTGAATTATTATTCTAGTGCTTTCTGTGAGCATGAATTCTTCTGATTATCAGCTTGTGTGTGTGACCGCAGAGACTGACCATGAGAAAGCGCCGTGTTTAATGTCATTATACGTGTGGTTTTTATCAGTGCGACGTGTTGCTTCATAATGAAGCCGAATCTGAGGCTCTTTACAGAGTGCTGTGGCGCGGCGGACGCTCAGAGCCGCGAGTCGCTTTTAAAAACTGGATTTATTGTCCCGCTCAGCGTGCAGGTCCCATAACTTTCTAGTTAGCCACTACTGGTTTCATGTTTACAGACGGAGCTGAGGAGAAAATTCACACATCGCGCTCGACATGCACAAACAGCAGAGGGAGACCGCAGGCGCCAGTCCACCCCTGCTGAGACCAACGCCACTGGTCACACACACACAGAGCGCTGTTCACACTCGCCCCCACCGGAGACCCCCAACACTCGCCTTTGAACAGTTTTGGGCGACTTCCCCCTCTTAAATCTCAGGAGTGGGAAAGGTCCCCCATCACAGTAAAAAAAAAAAAAGGGATGAATCTGGAAAATGCAATAAATCTGAGATCATAGGCACGCTCTGGCCTGAGATAAATTCTTGCACCTCGGCCGGGCCGCCGCACACATCTGCCTTGCATTTAGACACTTTTACATGGAGCAGCTCCACGGGAGCCACTCGAGATCCGACACACACACACACACTCATACACTCACACACACACACACACACACAAACACACGTCGACACAAACACACACACTCACACACAAACACACACACGTCGACAAAAACACACACACTCACACACACACACACACGTCGACACAAACACACACACTCACACACACACACACACACTCACTCACACACTCACACACACACACACACACGCACACACACACACACACTCACTCACACACTCACACACACACACACACACGCACACACACACACACACTCACTCACACACTCACACACACACACACACACTCACTCACACACTCACACACTCACACGCACGTTGACACAAACACACACACTCACACACACACACACGTCGACACCAACACACACACATACACACATCGACACAAACACACTCCGTGAGAGGATAACACATCAACACAAGCGCTTTAACGTCTCTGTTGTTTTTGGAGAGCTTCTGTTTCTCCTCAGACAAAAAAAAGAGTCACTTGAGTGTCCAAAGAGAGAGAAAGAAATGAAAGAGATCTCAGCAGTGTCCCCAAAAGTGCTCAGATTTGAGTTTGCAATCAACGGTCCTCAATATGAATTTAAAGGCACAATATTTTGTTTATTTTGAATATGCGCCCTCTAGCGGCGAAAACTTACATACTGTGCCTTTAAATCATTTGGGGGAAAAAAAACAATATGGCAGAAACAGGCATACATCTGAATCACAAAACCTCTTACAAACATGTCCAGCTCATCTATCGCCCCTAAATAACAAGTATTGTTCATGTATGTATCGTTTCAGTGTGAAGTCAATTATGATATATTATTTAAGGGCTGCAAGGGAGTTTTAGGGAGTCCATAGAAAAGATTGGGGAAAATGGTGTAAAAAATATAGAAATTAATACAAAAATAACATCAAGATAAATTGTTAATTATTTTATAATAAGTAAATCTAAATAAACAAATAAATATTATTAATCAAATAAATAAATAAACTTCTAAGAGAAAGAGAAACATCTGAGATACAGTTGATAAATGTTTGAGTTCATATTAAGTTATTTGATTTTAATTTCAGACTTTATGTATCATGAGTCACATTTTTTGTAATATTTATTTATTTGTTTTAGTTTGAATTATTTTAGTACTTTAACTTAAAATAAATGAAAATGAGAAATATTGCAATGGCAACTACATGAAATAAAATAAGGTTACGTTTTTTAGTATAATATGTGATGTGATGTAAAATATATTTTATTTCAGTTATCATTTATGTATTTCAAGTAACAATGTGTTTTTTTTTTTATGGTTAACTTGAGCTTACTGGGTCTTTTTCTCGTGAGAAGCAGGAGCAAAAGTTGAAGAAATCATTGAGGAGTTGTGATGATCTGATGTTCTCTCTGTTGTGTTTTCATTCGCAGCACAATCAGAGTACGAGACTGAAGACGAGCGGCTGCAGGAGGCACAGAAGAGGTAAGAAACACCACGTCAATCTATAATCAGCGTGAGTCAATAACTCACTCTGCAGCCGTTAGAGTCACCTGATAAGAAGCCTACATAGACAGCATCTTGACTAATGCGACCTCATCAGAGAGCGATTGAGAGATAAACACAGATTTAATAAGACTGAATTATCTTTTTTCTATCATTTTTAGTATTGAATGGAATACTATTCAAAAGTGTGGGTTAGTAAGATTGTTTATGGTTTCTGAAACAAGTCTCTTCTGCTCACCGAGGCTGCATTTATTTGATCAAAAGTACAGTTAAAACAGTGCAATATTATTAGAATTTAAAACAGCTGTTTTCTGTGTGAATATGTGTTAAACTGTAATGTATTTCTGTGATGCGCAGCTGTATTTTCAGCATCATTACTCCAGTCTTCAGTGTCACATGATCTTCAGAAATCAGTATAATATGCTGATCTGCTGCTCGAGAAACATTTCTGATTATTATCAATGTTGAAAACATTAATATTTCTGTGGAAACCGTGATGCATTTTATTTTTCAGGATTCACAGATGAATAGAAAGTTCAAAACAACAGCATTGATTTATAATTTAACATTATAAATGTCACTTTTGATCGATTTAGTGTGTATTAATTGTACTGACCTCAAACTCTTTATTAATGACATCTGGGATGTTTTTGTGCATTCTGGGAGTGTTTATTTTCTGTGTGAGGAGCAGGTGTCTGTGATGCTCTTCCGTCTGCAGGCTCTCTTGTTATCGTTCGCTCTTATCGTGTGTGTTCAGTAACACTGCAAACGGTTTGTCCTGATTTATGTGCAAGCCTTCGGCTGCCAGATGCTGCATGACGGAAAATATCTGGAACTTTTCAAAGAGGGGAAAAGGACAAACAAAGCATATTGATTATTTTTCCTTGTTTAGATTTGAGAGATTTTTTGTAACCTGAAACAAAACAAAGTGACACACACTCACACACACTCTCACACGCGCACACACACACACACACACTCTCTCTCTCTCTCACACACACACACACACACACACTCACACACACACACACACACACACACTCACACACACACACACACACACACACTCACACACACACACACACACACACACTCACACACACACACACACACACACACTCACACACACACACACACACACACACTCACACACACACACACACACACACACTCACACACACACACACACACACACACTCACACACACACACACACACACACACACAC